TTTGAGGGGGGAGTCAACTTTCTTCAGAAAAAGGCAACTAAAACTAAAACCCAAAGATTTCCTGGCAACATTGGGCCAGGAGGCAGGCTCAGAGGGCAGAGGGGGAGATACTTACAATCTGGACAGCAGCCATTAAATGCCATTCTGCAGATGCCGCAGTTCTCATCATTCGCCACCCAGAGCCAAGTGGCCACACCATTCCAGCACTTAATCTTCACCTTCATGGCAGTGTAATCTGTGGGCTGAAGGGACGAGGTTACCTGCTAAATTTAGTTTGCAGAGCTACAACCTTTAGGCATCAAAGCAGCCCAGAGGGTGAGCATTGTAGAACAGCTGCCAGAGAACAGCTGCACCAAGGCAGCAATCTGTTTGTCCCTTTAGCCATCGAGAGAAAAAGACACAGCACAGACTCATCTCCAGGGGAAAAAACTTGGTTCCTCACAGGCAGGGAGATCAACTTTGAGAGCACCAGAGTTTGGTTTGGGGGGCGGTGACCATAGCTCAATGGATAGGGCACCAGCCATGTACACCAAGGGAGGTGGTTCAAACCTGGCCTGGGCCTGCTAAACAATGACAACTGCAACAACAAAATAGCGGGGCATTGTGGTGGGCACCGGGCGTTGTGATACATGCCTGCAGTTCCAGCTACTTGGGAGGCTGAGGCAAGAGAATCACTTAAGCCCAAGAGTTTGAGGTTGTTGTGAGCTGTGACATCCTAGCACTCTACTGAGGGTGACAAAGTGGGACTCTGTCTCAAAAAAGAAGAGTTTGGTTTTTGGGCCCAGCAAGGTGGTTCATACCTGTAATCAATCCCAGCATTCTGGGAGGCCAAAGCAGGTGGATTGCCTGAGCTCATGAGTTTGAGACCAGCTTGAACAAAAGTGAGACCCTGTTTCTACCAAAAATAGAAAAACTGAGGCAACTTTGCACCTATAACTCAGCAGCTGGGGCACCAGCCACATACAACAGAGCTGGCAGGTTCAAATCCATGCTGAGCCTGCCAAACAACAATGACAACTACAACCAAAAAATATCCAGGCGTTGTGGCATGCGCCTGTAGTTCCAACTACTTGGGAGGCTAAGGCAAGAGAATCTCTTAAGCCCAAGAGTTTGAGGGTGCCATAAGCTGTGATGCCACAGCACTCTACCAAGGGGGGCATACTGACACTCTGTGTCAAAAAAATAAAGAAAAGCAAAACTGAGGCAAGAGGATTGCTTGAGCCCACAAGTTGGAGGTTGCTGTGAGGTTGAGACTCCGTTTCAAAAAAAAAAAAGAAAAAAAAAGTTTGGTTCTGCCACTCATTGAGGATTTCATCAAAGACCCCAAGTAATGCTTAAGGGGCCTTATTTGTTAACAAATTGTAAAAAATACACAATACTAAATACATATGTATGTATGTGTTTTGCTTTGCTTTTTTTTTTATAACAGAATCTTGCAGTTGCCACAGGATAGTGTCCAGACATCAGCCTAGGTCACGGCAACCTCAAAACTCCAGGGCTCAAGCAATCCTCCTGCCTCAGCCTCCCGACACCAGGCCCAGCTGGTTTTCTTGTTTTTAGCAGAAACAGAGTCTTGCTGTCACTCAGGCTGGTCTCCAGCTCCAGGCTCAAGCAATCCACCCGTCTGTGCCACCCAGAGTGCTGAGACTACACGCGCCAGCCACTACATTTGGCCTTACAATACTTTAAAAGAGCTAGAAGAAAGGTGCAACCTTCAGGATTACAAATGGAGGCCAAAAATCCCGCTACGTCTTCGTCTCCCTGGAAAAACAAAAAGCCAAAAACAAACGAACCTTTAGGGGTGCGCCCAGATGTCCGCTGACTGGAGCAGAGCCCGAGGGCGTGCCCCCCGCCCCAGGCCTACCCGCCAGGCGCGCACCTCGGCCGAGGGCAGCCGGGCGAGGGCTGTAGAAGTCCCCGGAATCCGACAGCCTCCGGCGCCCAGACCCG